TAAAACTGCTAACGTTACAGCAGCGGGGAAATGAATGTGCATGAGTTATTTTATTTAATCTGTGTTACTTCAATGTTTTTTTTTACCTAAAATATTGAGACTCTGATGTTAATGTGTCTGCATTCAAGCATTTCAGTGGGCTTAAACAGATCACCCTTTACAGCAGATTTAGTTCACAAACAACTGACAGTTTAGACCTAAATATGATTTTCAGTTATAATTAATCCTAAAAATCGACATTAGTAACTTACTTTTAGCAGCATCAATCGCACTAAACGGTTCATTTGAATCAGTGAGTTGTCGACTCGAGAACAGCTGCAATCGGTTAATTCTAATTCGTGAATGAATCATTTGGTGCGATTTGCTAATCGATTTAAAAGGTTCATTGAAAAGAATCAGTTCGTTCTTGAATCAGGCACCGCTTCTGCGTGTCAGAGCACTTGATATATTATAAGGAGTAACGATATGTTTTATGAAATGTAGTGAAGTAAAAAGTACGATCTTATGCTTTGGAATGTAGTGAAGTAAAAGTAAAAGTTACTCAAAATAAAACTACTCCAGTAAAGTACAGATACTTGAAAAATGTACTTAAGTACAGTAACGAATTAAAACTACTCCGTTACTGTCCACCACTGGATTTACCTGAAGTACCTTGAGGAAGAGTGAAACTGTATTCCAGGAGACAGAAAAGACTGTATTTACAATGTACATTTCCTCAGGCTTTTAAAGATTAATGCTCATATTTATGAAGAAGGAATATTCTAGTTATTGTTTTCTTGTGCAGGTCTCTGAGTTGGGTCTTGAGTCTGAAATACTGCCTGTTACAAAGGATCATGTGGCGTCTAAGAACCGCTTCCTGTATGTGAAGGGACAGCTGCACAAGATGCCATCGGGACCAGGGTGAGAAGAAACTCCACTCTGTGTGCAGTTACCTATTTGAATTCATAAATATTCCTTATCTTGTTCTCCTTTCTTCTAGTGGGGTTATCTGCACCATCCCTCCTTTCTCTCGACCCATAATTCAGAGCGTTCTGAAGGAGGTACTGATCAGGAAAGGGACAGAGGAAGATGAATCTGTGCATGCATTTGTGTCCAGACGAATGGGTTCTGAGGTGAGAACTAGCATGGAGACTCAATGACCTGTTAAATGATCCATGCTGTCCTTGTCCTGTACGATGTGCTTTGCTGTAATGACAAATCAGTCTCAAATGTGTAGCGACAGGAGAGAATCTGAAACTGATTCAGGCCACCTGATTGTCTCTCTCCATGCAGTTGGCTGATATAGCCATAGACAGCCTGTGTAGAGGAGTTTTTGCTGGAGACAGCAGACAGTTGAGTGTACGGTCCTGCTTTCCACCTCTTTATGAAGCAGAGCGGTCTCGGGGCTCCATCGTGCTGGGCATGCTGATGGGTTCAGGTGAGGGCGCAGAAGGGCCAGTAGGTGTAAACCTAGTGTTCACCTAATCTGTTTTTGTAATTTCTTTTTTGCCACCATGTAATGCATTAATATGACTTTGAATTTATATTTGCTTCTTTTAAGGAGCATTTCATCTAAATGTTTAAGACAAATGTGAATCCTTTTGGCCTATATACTGTATATTAACAATAATAATAATAATAATATAATAATAATAATTATCATTAACAATAATACTGAAAAAAATAATAAAAATAAAATTAATAATAAAAATAACAACAACAAAATAATTATTTATATTTTTTACAAAACGTGTTGCTAAATAGTTTAAAATTGTTTGAAATTTTGTTGTCACTTTTGATCAATTTAATGTAGTGCTATATAATGTATTATCAATTGAATGGAAATATATATCCATTATAGCAACTGTTAATATTGTATTCGCAATTCGCATATAATGATGACATTACGTTTTACGACATTGATATTTATATATTCATGGTTACACCTTTAAAAACCATAATGCATAATTTTTTTTTCTATTGAAAAATGTTGGGGAAATAATTTTTTATATTTGTTTATCATTAATAGGTAATTATTTATTAAGATATTATCATGTATTTTAATCATGATTGCAATTACTTATGGATAATTTATGTTTATAATTATTAATTTAATAGATTTAGGATTTTGTTGTTTATTATAAAGACTTTAATATACCTTTTACAATGCATAATAGAACATAACTTTCTTCATAGAAAGTGTTACTGATTAATGTTTGTTTGTTTGTATTCATATTATGTAAGGAGGTGGTCCTAAAGTAGTCCCTTCTGACTTGGCAAAGAGAGCATCTAAAGAGTCCTGGACTCAATGGTCTCTTAAAAGAGGCATGCAGGCATTCCCAGAGGCCTTGGAGGACATGCTGAAGAGACGAGAACGAGTGGAGCTTCATCATCATGCCAAAGTGAAGAGTCTGAATATGAACGGTGGAGGCTGGGAGGTGAGATGATGGCCCAGCAGAAAGACATAACATATTTTGACATTCAACCTAGATGGACTGACTCAATATCTTTTAGTCCATCAGTTATGATGAAGAAACTGAGTGTTGTTTAACTAGTTTTTAAATATATATTTTAAATAGATCAAACTAGATGATGGCATCTCTTTGAAAGCTGATGATGTGATTTCTACGCTACCTGCATCAGGTAAATTCACTCATTTTACAGTGGTGTACTCCAATGTTTCCTATTCTGGTACACAACATTTGTTTTGCTTCATTTTAAGTCTAATTTAGTGAGTTTATTTAATGATTGATACAAGCTGAAAAAGTCCAATAGAAATGCATTTACATTTACTGTGTGTATTCTCACATTCAATTCACATAGCGAGTTCCCAACTGAAGTTAAGTGTGATCACTATTGCTGTTGCGCTGTAGGTTCACACACTGCTCTCTACCCAGACAACATGCCTATTAATAGAAAGTATTTTTCTATTAATAGGATTTAATATTAATTCTAATATTAATTTAATATAAATTTTAATTCATTTATTTATGTATTTTTATTTATTTAACCAGAATTGGCCTCTGTGCTGCCCCCAGCTGCTCAACACCTGTCGGAACAGCTGCGATCCATCGCTTCTGTAAATGTCGCTGTGGTGAATTTGGAATATGAAGGCTTCATCCTTCCTTTTACTGTAAGACTTCACTCAGTGATTTTAAATACATGAGACAAAAAATAATGTAGGCCCCTAAACCATTAAATGCTCAAGTCTGGTTGTTTTGTTCAGTTCATATTCTCATTGCCTGGAAGATCTTTCCTAACTGTACATACATCAAAGCACTTTATGCATGTGTAGGCATTTTTAATATTGAGTGTGTTTGTATATGTGCACATGCTCTAAATATTTCAGGGCTTTGGACATTTGGTGCCTTCCTCTGAAGATCCTGGTCTGTTGGGGGTGGTGTACGACTCTGTTCCCTTTCCACAACACAATCGGAGTGGAGGATTGACCACTAGACTGACGGTGAGACTGACCTCTCATATACACTAAGGTTTTTTCTACCTTCTACATTCAGTAGATTTTTTTTTGTAAGAAATTAATAGTTTTATTCTGCAAAGACACCTTAAATTTGCCAAAAGTGACAGTAAATATTTTTACATGGTTAAAAAACAGTCAAAAGCAAAAAGTAAAGCAGCACAACTGTTTTCAACAATGATGATAATAATAAATGTTTTTTGAGCATCAAATCAGCATATTAGGATGATTTCTGAAGGATCATGTTGTGACACAGAAGACTGGAGTAATTATGCTGATAATTCAGCCTTGTCATCACATCACATTTTAAAATATATTAAAATAGAAAACCGCTATTTTAAATTGCAGTCTTATTTCACTTTTTTATTTATTTATTTATTTAGCCATTTTGATCAAATAAATACAACCTTGGTGAGCATGAAACTTTTTTTTTTTTTTTTCAAAAATCTTACCATCCCCAAACCTTTGAGCAGTAGTGTACAGTTTATTGCACACTATCCACAAAATTATGATTTTGTAGGTTTCATAGGATATTATTGTGAAATGTTTATTATAAAATATTTTATTATTTTTATTATAAAATAAAAGTTAAAACATTAAGGTGGGGACAAGGCTAGAAATAGGAAATCTGGCAAAATGAAAGTAACACTTTTAAAAATAAAGAAAAAATACATAAAGAAACAAAATTAAAAACACATTGGTGAATATTTGCCGGTTTAGAAAATGAACCTGATGCTCTCAAAGGTCTCTGGAGAGATGCGTCTCTAAACCAATAGCCCCATCAGCGATTTGTGAGTCTCTGACATGAATTCTTCTCCCTTCCTCTTTTAGGAACATATTACATGCGGTAATAAAAATAGCCTTCGGTACTCTGTGGTCCTCACAACAACAAAAATTGCCATTGCATTATTCATTTCTCACCCACTTAAATCATTATTAATTTAATAGTTAGATGTCCTTTGCTTAGAACATGTTGTTTTTCCCCTGCTTGAAAACTATATAGTCGAGAGGCCAAAAACTTCTAGATTCAGAGTGCCATTAGAGGAGCTGAAATATGCTTTGAGCAGTGTTAGCAACCTGAATAACATAATGCAACTCCCTCCAGCTGGGGAATCCGTCCTGTGAGTGGATGTTATGAGGATGATCCAGCTGTTATCATGACAGTAGCCATTTCTGTGAATGGTGTTATTTTCTAGTGTAATTACTAGCAGTTTGTGTGTGTGTTTGAATGAAGGTGATGATGGGGGGCGCGTGGTTTGAGCAGACGTTTGGTCATCCTGATTCAGTGACGAAGCAGATGCTGTTGGATCGAGCCACCCAGGCTGTGACCTCTCACCTGGGCATAAACTCTCAACCTGTATGGAGCTGCGTCGCTTTACACAAGGTGAGACTATGTGTTTAAATAACGCAAAAAGCCACTGAGGCTGTGCATTACAGTGATTTTACAACAGGTGAGGTGTGTTCTATGCAAAGCGGTATACCTAAAAACCCCACATTCTCTGTAAACATGGCCTTGAGTAGCTTATTGATATTATAAAATATATTCAAGTATAAAATAAAACGACATAGAAATTTAAGGGGGTCTGAATACTTTCCGTACCCACTGTACATGCCTCTACCTACATTTCAGCAAAACTAAAAAAACTTTCTTATTCATATGAATCGCTGCAGTTTCCAGTTGAAATGAACACTAGAGGCAGTAAAACTCCCACAACTTTTATTCCTTTTCACACAAAGTATGATTTGCAGGTTCACAGTTTCGATTAGTTGATGAATATTATGTTATGAATTCAAAACAATTTTAAGATGCTGCGAGATTTGAAAACTGGTGCATTTGAAGGTTAGCGTCAAATATCCAGCTTCATATGCATGAGTTTTCAAATTCAGTAAGTTTGCTCGGTAGCTCACGCGATACGGCGTTGCACTTAAAGGGTTAGTTCACCCAAAAATTAAATTAGCACATAAATTACTTACCCTCAAGTCATCCTAGGTGTATATGACTTTCTTCTTTCAGATCGATGTGTTTTTGTAAGAAAAATATCCATATTCAAAACGTAATAATCACTTTAATGTAGCTTGCGCTCACTGTTGTAAAGGGAAGCAGTTCCGGGCGGATGACGTATGGAGGTCGACTTTGCAGCTTCGGTACGAACCCCATCAAACTACGGTTCAACAAAACAATTTGCCAGGGTCACGTATTGAACCCGCGTTTTAGCGCCACTCACTGGACCTTTGAAACTGCCGCGAAATGTGCAGTAAGGTACGTAATAACGGTGCTGCAGATATGTTTTTAGAGGCACGTATTTTGAATGAGCCTGGGTTGAAATAAAAAGATAAAGATATACTGAAGTGTATTTGATTGTGCTAAAGTGGAACTATTGCAAGTATACTTCAGGTACACTTTAAATATTTGG